TTTATATCAACCATTTCTGAAATCAGCCATCACATTTTCATAACTTCTCCAGCTACATGTCCAGAGACTCATACGCACGTTGCAGGAGTGGTTTTAGACAGACACCAAAGCCAAAACCTAAAACCTTCAGCCGTGACACTAAACACATTCCAGGGGTGAGTCCCACTGGACAAGTTCAACGCTGACAGACACATTCTTCCATCGGAGTCACATCAGCAAACCCAGCTGGGCTCTCTTTTCAAGCCCGTGACCTTTCCGACATCCTTGGATAGCAACAGCGCTGCCACTAAAACACAGGTGTGGATGGATTGAGATACAGGGCCTCTGTTCCAAGTTTTGCCCACAGGTTTTTCAAACCTAATGTGTTGAGCATGTTATTTTTGTTGGAATGGGACCATTTGCTTTGGAAACGTGTAGGAGACGTGGGATGACAAACGACATTTGGCTCTAGTTTTCATTCAGCTGTCTGTTGAATAATGCCGATCTAGATGCGCAGTACAACACTACACATTGCACGGATGATGTAAGACACAAGTCTTTTGTTGAGTTTACCAGCATTTGGCAGAAAAGGCTAATGGAAGATCACCTTGCTCTGATTTAATAGCAGTGGCCTCACAAGCTTCATACAAGCAAACGTGCAAGTGTTTGGAGTGTGTGAAATTATTCTCTTATGGATTGACCATAACAAGTCTTACATTTCAGGCAGCTGCAGACAAAAATAGACCAAATGATTGCTGAGTGTGACTGTCACTTTTATCAGCTGAATGCTAAGCTTTGTTAAAATGTTTTACACCTAGCTGATATTACACAAGTTAGCTAAGTCAGCTAATTGTAGCTAAGGTGTGTTATGAGTATGCTACGGCAAACTGTTAATCCTGTTTACATGGACAAGAACTGAAAGCTGGTCTTTGAAGTAATGCTGGATACTGTGTTATAGGAATTCTCATAGATATTAGCTATACGTCAAAAAGTATCTAAAAAGAGCAGAACGTTTCCTGAAAGCCCACTTGAGCCTGGTTAATAACTCTTGATCCCTACGATAAATAGATATTAAAAAACATTTTTACATTGTGGTACAAAAAATGAGGTTAGTCTCTATGAATAACATCAGTTCTTCATAACAACTGTACGTGACGAGAGAAATTCTAGTATTTTATAGAGCTGTTAGTGCTAATTAGCATGTACATGGGTGTTGCATCCATAAAACTGATGAATGCAGAATCATAAAAAAAATATGAAGCTTTTGCAAAACTCTATCTAGTCCTGTGAAAGACCAAGTACACCCGTACTGATTCTGTAGGAATTAGGATGGTAAGTAGCAGCCAGGTGCTGATCATCTGATTTTCTCCATTAATTAGCCGTCAATAAATGTCAGCGCCTCAATAAAAGCAGCACAATTCAGGTGTGTGTTAAATGCGTTAAATGCGTTAAAATGCCACAGTCTTTCCAGGAATGGATGTCCCAGCAAACTGACCCCAATGGTAGACCATGCAATGCTGAGAGAGACTGCAAAGAACCCAAGAGTGATATCTCAGACTCTGTCAGTCTGTTACATATTAAATGTCATGACAATGCAAATGGAAAAAGACTAAACAAGTATGGCTTGTTTCCCAGGAGGAAACAGCCCAGGTTTGCAAAGAATTTGAATTCTAAAGGTTTGAATCAGAATAAACCACAGCACTTCAGTTTTGACTCAGGAGACAGACAACCTCTCTACTTTTAAGTAGGGCTGTCAATGTTAACATGTTAGATTTATGCAATAAAAATTTGTTTTAACGCATTTAACTCAATCTGGACTGCAGAATGGACAAACTTTGGACAAACTGCCCGAAATGCATTGACAGAGACATTTCAGGGATTTTGAGATGGGTTAATTGCGTTAAACAGACCTCAACTCATTATATATGTTGCAGTGAAACCATAAGAGAGGTGTGCATTAAAGAAAATGTCCACAAACCTCAATGAACTGAAGGAATCTTTTAAAAAAGACCAAACAACCATATGAGAGTCACACAGAAAACCATTACTTAAAGTTATTGCTGCTAAAGGTTTACCCACCTCTGGATTTGTGTAAATATTAATGTTCAAAAATATAAACAGTAACATGGATATTAAGGTATTCTTTTAATGGTAGGGTAAGTAGTAAGATCATTTTGGAACAGACAATCCTGTGTCGCTGATTCAATTGTTGTGCTTGTATTTTTCAGAAACTGATGTTTTGATTTTGTGACAACACCCAAAGTCTTTTCTCTGTATCAGTACAAGTCCCGCTTTTCACCATCCCAAAGCTTAAAGACCCACTTATCCTTGTTATACGCAAGTCCATTAAATTCTAGTGAAATGTTAGGTCCATCCATTTTTTCCATTTTCATCCGCTTTGTCCGGGGCCGGGTCGCGGGGGCAGCAGCCTAAGCAAAGAGGCCCAGACCTCCCTCTCCCCAGCCACCTCCTCCAGCTTATCCGGGGGAATACCAAGGCGTTCCCAGGCCAGCCGAGAGATATAATCTCTCCAGCGTGTCCTGGGTCTGCCCCGGGGCCTCCTCCCGGTGGGACATGCCTGGAACACCTCACCCAGGAGGCGCCCAGGGGGCATCCTTGTCAGATGCCCGAACCACCTCAGCTGGCTCCTTTCGATGTGGAGCAGCAGCTGCTCTACTCTGAGCCCCTCCCGGATGGCCAAACCTCTCACCCTATCTCTAAGGGAGAGGCCAGCCACCCTTCGGAGGAAGCTCATTTCTGCCGCTTGTATCCGCGATCTCGTTCTTTCGGTCACTACCCACAGCTCGTGGCCATAGGTGAGGGTAGGGACGTAGATCGACCGGTAAATTGAGAGCTTCGCTTTTACACTCAGCTCCCTCTTCACCACGACGGACCGGTGCAGCGTCTGCATTACTGCAGCTGCAACCCCAATCCGTCTGTCGATCTTTGGCTCCCTTCTCCCATCACTCGCGAACAAGACCCCGAGATACTTGAACTCCTCCACTTGGGGCAGGAACTCATCCCCGACCCGGAGTGGGCACTCCACCCTTTTCCGGCTGAGAACCATGGCCTCAGATTTGGAGATGCTGATCCTCATTCCCGCTGCTTCACACTCGGCTGTGAACCGCTCCAGTGCGAGCTGGAGGCCCTCACCCGATGAAGCCAACAGAACCACATCATCTGCAAAAATCAGAGATGAGATTCTGAGGCCACCAAAGCGAAAGCCTTCCGCCACTTGGCTGCGCCTAGAAATCCTGTCCATAAAAATTATGAACAGAACCGGAGACAAAGGGCAGCCCTGGCGGAGCCCATCACCCACCGGGAACGAGTCCGACTTATTGCCGGCAATGCGAACCAAGCTCTTGCAACGGTTGTATAGGGATTGAATGGCCCGTAGCAATGGGCCAGACACCCCATATTCCCGCAACACCTCCCACAGGACACCCCGAGGGACACGGTCGAATGCCTTCTCTAAGTCCACAAAACACATGTAGACTGGTTGGGCAAACTCCCATGCACCCTCAAGTATCCTGGAGAGGATAAAGAGCTGGTCCAGTGTTCAGTGCATTGTTCCTCCTGTATCCGAGGTTCGACTAACGGACGAACTCTCCTTTCCAGCACCCTGGCATAGACTTTCCCAGGGAGGCTGAGGAGTGTGATCCCCCTGTAGTTAGAACACACCCTCCGGTGTGTAACCGGAGGGTGAAATGTTATGTGTTTATTTTAATCTGTTTGTGTGCAGGAGTGAAACCATGAAAGTTGTCCCTTTTAAATGGCGTGTGAACTCTTACCAAGGTGTCTCGAGCAGTGTTAGCCAACAAATCACTTGATGTGTGCTTGCAGTGTGTCACGGTGCCAATGATCAATGAGGGGATCTCTGATGACAGACCCGCTGCAGCTTCCCTTTCTCTTTCCTGGGGATAAGTGTCCAGTGATGGGAAATCCAGGTCACCTGCCTACTCAGCCCCCCACACAGACCAAAATGCAAGCATGTGACTGCTCACGTAGACACCCTATAAACATACACACAGGCATTTGCACAAACAGCTACCATGAGAATTGTGGGACCTATAAACTTGGCCAGAAACGCTTGAAAAATTCCTTCATCAGTGATTAAGTAACAGCTATAACTGATGCCCGTGGGTGTAGCTCTTTGTCATTGTGACGTTGGAATCCCAAAGAGAAAGTGTAACAAAGGGCAAGCACGTTCTGACAAGTCCTGTGTGTTGGCATAAGTACTAAATATTGTTAACCAGCTTCCTCAGAAACAACAGCTGTCTTTAGCTAGAGTGAAAACTATTTATGAGCAGCCAAGACAGCTTATTGACTGTAGGCTTTAAAGATGGAATGCATTTTGTTTGGTGTGTGTGTGGGAAAAAATGGTGAGCTATTAAAAGACTAAAGATATGCCGATTACAGCGAGTGTTTTTCTCAAAGGCTCTGGTGTCTGTGCTTATTGTTGCCGGTCCAACAAACCGACCAGCCAAGAAAAACAAGTATGAAACAGAGGAATGTTTATGTTTTCTAACTTTGCCTTTCAAGCTGTGAAATGGTCAAACAGATTCCTGTTTTTAAGGAGAAAATCTTTATTGCTATTGGCTTCATCTGATAATTTTACACTGGAGTCAGGAGGAATTCGGAGGACGGGGGTGGCGTCCAGGACAATACTAATAATGGTTTAAAGTAGATTTTGTGAACCACACATAACAGGACTGTAAGCTTCTCACGTGCTATCTTCAGGACCAATGTAAACTCTGATGTGATTGTGACACATCAAATCTGTCATGAAATCAGTCACCTTTTTTAGGGTGTAACAAACAACTACTGCTGCTATGTTGCCGCCAGCTAGCTGACAAGACGAAAGGTTTGAGTCAATCCACATTTACAAGTGATGGCAAACACAAACTAGTACTAGAAAATGTCTTCTCGTGAGAGAAACCCTGGCTCCAAAAAGATATATATATATATATATAATGTCTGTCTGCCTGTCTCCCGCTCACTCTTGCTTCATGTCTGTGGCTTTTCCATTCTCTGATGACATGACTGTGTCTCTCGTCCCGCAGTTTGGCTCGTCCTTCGCTACCTTCCGCCCCGCTCTTTTTCACTCTGGCTCCACCCGGCCTCTCTCTGTCATTCTTCCTGTTCCTGCGTCCCCACCCTATAACCGCCCCCCTGGATCCAGCTCCTCCTCTCCCACATCAAAGGTTCCTATGTGGAAGGTTTGTTCTCCATTCGCTTCCATTTCTTCAGTTGCACATTTTCTTCTGTTTCTGTTTAACAAGTTAATGCATAGAATTTATTTTCTTTTACTTTTTATCACCTGATTAACTCATTCATAACCACATTGCACTGCTTCATTGCAAGTGTTCATCCCCACTTGCTTTGTGTGCATTTTTTTTGGCTTCATCTGCCTCAATGGTTTTACAGTCTGCCAACTGGTAACTGACGAAAACCAAGCAGGGTCAAAGGTCATCAACATATACATGCTCTCTAACACTCGAAAAGGCCTCTGTTCCACACATTCTGACCTGCACACAGTCCTTGATGTACCCATAAAGGCCCCCTCTTTCTGCACTCAGATGAAGGGCATCAAACTGCTGGATAGTGGACAAGTCGTGTGTGCTAATGTTACCACCTACTTCCTGTTTATTAATTCCGCTCACCTCTTCAGGACTGGTCCAAAGCAGGTCAGTATGAGCAGCCTGTGGCTGCAGCGGCAGTCCAGCGAAGAAGGGAACCTCTTGATAGGCTGAGGGAGAGTGAGGCATCACCGGGCTCCCAGGGATATGCTGGGCCATCACATCCTGATGATGGGCAGAGAGCCAGGATGACGCCAGCTAACATCGCTGCCAAGGTAATAGTGAAGTTGATGATACTGAAACACGGGCTGAAGATAGCAATTTGTGTGTACGTCTATACAAATGCATGAATATGTATAAAGTATGGCCTATAGTACAGGGTGGGCCATTTATATGGATAAAACCGTAATAAAATGGGAATGGTTGGTGATATTAAAGTCCTGTTTTTGGCACATTAGTATATGTGAGGGGGCAAACTCCTCAAGATAGGTGGTGACCATGGTGGCCATTTAGAAGTCGGCCATCTTGGATACAACTTTTGTTTTTTCAATAGGAAGAGGGCCATG